TTAGTAAGCCAAAACACTGATATTCTAAGATTAATAAAATCTGTGGGCTTCGTTCACATTTGCTTTATCAAAAATTAGTCTTTAAATATTGTCACTATTATTGGGATGTTATGTTATCTCTAGGCTACAAGACCCAATCCTTAAATGCTGAGGAACCTGTTTTCTTATAAATAGGTGTTGATAAAGCCAGAGCACTGTCTCAGTCATGGTCTCTGCCTGTGCAGCCACATCCTACCATACTCCCACAAGTTCGTTTCAAAAAATCATTTCCTGGGAGTGTGGAGCATAGTGCTGCAATGGCAGAGACCTGGTCAGTCCATCTTGGCCAGCTTCGACACCATAGAAGTTGTCCACTTATTAATCAACACTTTACATGACTACATGACTTAAATGTAATAATCTAAAATGAGGGGGGAAAAGAAGTCTTCATAGAATAATTGTACTCTCTACTACTCTAACAGCACACTCAGCTCAGGGCCGTGGGCACCACATTTCACACCCTGGCTTCCAGACCTGTGAGCACTGGGAAAGCCCTCACCTTGGCTTCAGCTCTCTGCCTTCCCCATTCCCCAGACAGGGGCATAGACTGTGTATTACATGAGCAAAAATAAAGCCTGGCATCTGAACCACCAGATCGGAAAAACCAAAGGTTTTTCCCTTCTAGAAAGAATCATTTAAATTAAGTAGGCTCTTACCTATTTTATTCAGAAGACTTTAAAAAAGGTTTCTTGATAAAGATCATCATCTAGCTTAATTTTGGAAAGTATGAATCAGCAAAAATAAAATAGTTGTCTGACACCTTTTTTCTTAAAAAACCAACTGATTTTACAGTGGCACAGAGTTATGCTTTGTATAAATAGCCCCCACCCCCCATACTTATAAATGACTTAAAAATAACTGCACACCCACCTCCAGAGGGCTGGGTGTCTGTTTCATGGGAGCCTTTGTTGTCATTGTTTTTAAATAGAGTTGTTTTTTTTTTAAAGATTTTATTTATTTATTTGACAGAGAGAGACACAGCGAGAGAGGGAACACAAGCAGGGGGA